GGGCTTCTTAAGGTGGGTAAATCCAATACCTCTGGTATCCAGGTTTCCAAAAATCCACAGGTGTCCGAGCCTTCGGCACCTTCAGGGAGGTTTACCAACCTGATGTTATTGAGCTTAATTTGCATCTCCATATCGACCACCTTCTCCTCCAGAAACTTATTTCTTTTCTCCATATTGCGGACTGTAGCCCTCAGCCCGGTTTGCTCGTCCTCCACCGTAGATAAGCGCTCCTCTGCGTGTGTCAGACGTTTGGCACATTCACCCACGTCCTTTCGTATAGCATCTATGGCAGTCATGACGCCATCAAATCTTACTCCGAACTCTGTTTTTAAGTTGTTTATTGCCCCCAATATCTCCGCCTTGGCACCAGGTGGGCTGTTCGTGTCATCCCCGCTGCGTTGCGCTAGCTCCGCGCTAGCCTCATTGCTAGTGCTCCGCTCAACTCTAACATCTTTGCTAGCCTCCTTAGCACTTAGCTCCACGTTTTGCGGTCCGAAGTCAGTTAATTTAGATTGCGTGGCTGTTTTTGCCTTATCCTTGCTGGTTTTTCCAGGGCCAGGCATTGTTGTATCCGAATCAAGTTCAAATATGACTGTTAGGGGCGTTTTGAAGTCTAATCAAGGGATTTTTCAGGATTGTTGTAGAGAGCGGTGTCGAACGTGACCTTCTAGCTCGCGGCCATAACCGGAAGTCCCTTTTACATTTTTGCTGTTAAACTGCTTGTCTGACGTCAGAATCAGACATGCTCCGAGTATTCTGGCAAAATATGATTGATCCATGTTTATCTGCACTTTAGTTGTCTATTTCTTTAGATTATGCACTGTAGACAATAATATTAACACGAAAGGAAAACATTAAATTCAAAAAGACTAGATTTATGTTTAAAGCCGAAGCCGAAGCAGTTAGCTCCTGGAAGTAGCGTAGGATCCCATTTCCGGAGCAGATTGGGCACACACCGGTATTAAAACAGAAAGGATTTTAAGGCATTTATTTTCTCAGGAAGTACATTATTAACCTTTAAAAAAATTATGGTTTAGTACACTTACTATTTTGGGGGTGGGACAAATTTAATTTAGGTCTTTTATACAAAAGAAAATCGAGGGCGACCCGGATGTATATCTAGTTGCGCATGAGCAAATGAGCAGATGGAATGGATCTTTCTTCTGCTATATCGGGGGAGGGACAGAGAATAAGCAGCAAGTCCACCACAGACTTGGATAGGATGTCATCCACTGTGGTAGCGAGAAAAAAAATATCTTGTATGAATACCCGCTTCCTTCAAATAGTTTTTATCCTTTTAAGTTTTTTTTTGCTTACATTTTTTTCGCTGACTAGATTTTTTATTCATAAGATTTCTTTAATAGATACAAATTTTTTTTTTTCATGAATGAACTCCCATAAAGATAGTTTCTTATAGTATCACTGTTTGCATCAAGCAGCATTTAAATCTAGACAGATCCTGTTATAAATTGCCTCTCTTATCAAAGAATGTGGTTTGTTTTACTGGGTAGCTGATTCCATATAAAACCGCAAATTAACTATTTTCAGTCTCAGCGACATGAAACTATTTACACAGTTATGTAGCTGTCTTCTCTCCAATATACTGACTGTAATAGTTTTGCAGTCCACCCTTTCACAAATCTATAGTTTTGCACTATAATTCTGGTATGTTGCGACCAAATATCTTTACTTTTTTTGCTTTTGATTAAATTGCAACTTCAAGACAAACAATACCTTGACCTTTCTTGAGAAAGTATGATGTTCTATATCCTTAGACCCATAGGATGGCTCGATAATCTCAAATCCACTGTAAGGGACCAATAGGCTCCAAAGGGCACTTCATTTTGAGGTTCTACTTGCATTATATTGCTTTCTAAATGTTATAAGGCAGATTGTCAGTTAAGCCTACAGTAAGAGTACTTTGGTATACCAGTTGAAGCAACCTAAATCAGTACAATGATTGAAACAGTTTGGAGGAGACAATCAAAGGCAGCTTATGGAACAAAACATCATTCAAGGTGTTCCTTTGGTATAGTGTTTAATTCTAGAAAAATATTCTTAGCTGTGGATCCTTAAGCCTTTCGAACATCTATCGCTTGATATCCTCTTCCAAGAAGGGCCTTGACCAATTCTTTTTTAGGAATATCAGTGAACAAAATAATGCTGTGGCTTTAGGAGCTAACTTTTATTGCGTGTGACTTTTTTCTTGAATTAGTAAATAGGTCAAATGTATTTATAAAGCGGCTTTTACTTAAATATCAATTAAAAGAGCACTGTACAACATTGATCTCATATATTGAATAAAATAAGGATGAAAAGCACAATAAAATCATGACATATAAGCCTGAAAAAAAGAAAAACTGAAAAAATAGTCCAAAGAGTCAGTTCAGCAAATATTCATAAATTGTTTTTCTGAGCCTTTTTCCACTAAATGTTTTATTTTCATGCGCAAACCTTTCATTTTGAATTAAAAATATGGCTAAATCTCTGATTATTATGACAAAGCTAAAGAACACTTAAAGTTATTTTGGAGGATTTTCACAAATTTTTTTAAAGGACCCACCCTCTCCACTTAGAAAAAAAAATGCACATGCACAACCCTGTGCTTTCCCGAGAGGGAACGCCTGCGAGAGCATGCACTGCCCATTTCTCCTCATGCACACTCTTAAAAATTGCTGTTCTCATTGTTCATAAAAGCTTACTGTGTCCAAACGTCCGCCAACAGTCCATGGTGACAGTAGGCCGCTGTGACAGCAAATCCCATAATGCTTTGGCAAAAGAGCTCTCTGTGCAAAGCATTGCGGGATATATCTGACTCTTCTAAGACCTTTCTGTTCTTGTCATACACTTTTTAGACACTTTTTTTCTAAGAACTCTCTGCCATTTTCAAAGAATCACAGTGAGAAAGGTGAGCTTCAATGACTGTCTGAAACCGTAGCTCACCACACATGTCTGAAAGTGTGATAAGACAGCTAACGGGTTGAGCAAGTAGGACCACCTTACATAAACATATCACAAGAATGATTGACAATTAGGATGACCACTTATTTTGATGATCCACCTGGAAATAAAAGATTGTCCTCTATACCTATAATTTGCCTCTTGATTGAATACAGTGTTTTGTTTCAAACCAACCTAAGTAACTGAGTTCTTAAGCCTGTACATGCATTTTATTTATTCCATTATCATCAGGTAATGCCTGTGACTTGGTTTAAATAAAAAAAGCATTTTAAAAAGTTTAGTAATTTGCTCTCTATTGCTGGATTAAAGGGATGATTGTTAACAGTAACCTACTTATTAATGATGGATAGTTATTGTCTTGTATAAAGAGCCATCCTACCTTTTCTGGTTTTTAGTTTAGATACTTTTACTTTCTTTTTTTTATGAATATGAATTACTTGTTATAACAGAGGAGTTATTTTGGGGAAACAAGATGAATTATTTTTTTAAAAACAAGATAATTAGCATTTTTGTCCATTGAGCCATAGGGATAACTATAGTATCAATGATTCAAAAAAGTTGTTTTGATGTTGTTTTGATTGTCTGATGTAAAATCCAAGGTTTTACCCCCCACGCCCACCACATGCCACATACAGTAAAAGCACCAACAAAGTAACATTCTTCTCTCATGTCGTATGGACAAAGAAAAACCTAAAGTTAATTTAAATAAAAAATTTTGACACCATAGTAGCTCTCATAAAAACCTCTCCAACAAATCTTGTGAATACTTTTTTCTCTTGTGAAAAATCCCCCCAAACTTTCAACGTTGGTCTTTATTCTTTTGTTGTTGGTTTTTTAGAAAGCTGCAGTCACTTATACACATCATTCCTTTATGTTCTCCTTGATATCAAATATACAGTCTCACAGTAGTCTTTCAATATGGCATGCATCTGCAGGAATAAAGAGAAACAGGAATTGTTTCCTTATATTTGTATAAGTATTTCTCTAAGGGGGTAAAATAATATGTATAAATATATCTCTATAGTAGGCATAGAGGAGACTGTTGTGTTATCAGGTGACTAATTCGCACAAACTAAAGCAGCTTGTGGAGAGTTGGAAGGAGGGTGATTGGGGTAGCGGGGGTTCTGGCTCAGGCAACAAAGTGCTTTTGTGACGAGCATTATCAGCCAGAGCCAAGAATCGTCTCATCTGCCTGGGCCTGCTCATTAGCATTTGCTACACTCTGTGTTTGTGCACACATGTGTCAGATTAAGTATTTTTTGTTTCCTCAGGAACTGTCAAATAAGAGGAGGTATAGAAAATCTGTGTGGATTAATAAACAACCTCAGTACATGTTTATATGAATACAGAAGTTTAGTTTATATTCACTTCTAACAAGGTTTTACATAATAAAAATAAAAATGGATGAATATAGCTATTAAGGAAATGTTGTTATAATATTATTAAATAAAATATCATGTTTTATTAAAACCTTAAAAATGTGAAATATTGTATCATGTTTTGCCTTAGTTTTTTTTTAACCTACCTTTAAAAACAATGTCCCCAGTATTCATTTATTATTGTGGTGTCTAGAGAGAGTTTTCTACAACTCTTTTTTTGTTTTATGTCTGCTCCTTTGAAACTGTACTTTGGTACCTGTTGCAATCAACCAGACATGTCCAAAGTTGGTCCTTGAGGGCTGCTTTCCTGCAGGATTTTGAGGTCTCCCTGCTTCAGCACAGCTAATTTCTATTAATAGATGTTTGCTGAAATTCATTTACCAGAATCAGCTGTGCTGAAGCCAAGAACCATTAAAAACTTTAGTACAGCAGCACTAAAAGACAAACTTTGGACATGCCTACTATAAACCTTAATGACAAGCCCTATAAGATGCCTTGAATTGGACACAGTTGATCTCATTTGGCAATTTGCCCAAATAAATAAGCCATGTCTTTATATAGAATGGTCTGTTGTGTGTTATTTTTTTTAGATATACTAGCCAGTTTGTTACTTAATCTGTTATTTCTGACAGTTTATCATTTCTGATTCTCTCACTTCAGCTGGAACCACATACATCTTTGGGAAAGGGGGAGGCCTCATTACATTTAACTGGCCAGCTAATGAGAGACCAAGTACCAGAACTGACAGACTGACTGTTGGCTTTAGCACATCCCTGAAAGATGGCATCCTAGTCAGAATCGATAGTGCCCCTGGTCTTGGAGACTATCTTATGCTGCACATAGTAAGTAGTTATACATTTCCATCCATTCGTTCTTTGTTTTGGGTCTTGTTAGGTGTAATGGCAAGCAATTGTTTAAATTAATACATCCTTTTACTAAGAATGTCCCTTTATATATATAAGTATATGTACATCAATGTGCATGTTACAGTACAAGTCATATGTTTATTAAAGGTTTTATGTTGAAGGTGGTCTTCAAAATTAAACTTTTTGTTTGACATTATTAACATTAAAGCTGTTGTAAATATTCATCATGGTAATTCTTCACATGAATTTAAAATGTATTCAGCTTTGTATGTTATTTCTGTTCCTGTACAAAAAAATAACACGTCCCCTCATTACAGTACCTCAACAATAGGGTTTTGTTATTTTAGGAGCAAGGCAAGATTGGAGTGACCTTCAATATTGGAACGGAGGACATCCTTGTTCAAGAAAGCAGCACCCCGGTGAATGATGGGAAGTATCATGTAGTCCGTTTTACCAGGAATGGTGGGAATGCTACGCTGCAGGTGGATAACTGGTCAATCAATGAACATTTCCCAACAGGTACAAAAATATATTCTATCTATTTCACAGATTGTATAAAAAGCAGCAGAGTCATGTTGTTGCGCGATGGCCGCAAAGAGTCACTGGACAGCGTCTGCTCGGGAAATAAGCGTGATTGAAGCTATTGCTGGATGCTTGTTTTTATTCCAAAGAGAAACTTCAAATTTTAGTATGCCAAATTTGGGTTCCTTATTGCAGTGGTATAGGAGAACAAGTTAAGGAGATTCATCTGGATAGGCTTTTGAGACTTTGGGCAAGTGGGCACAAATAAAAAACTAATAATGGTTCTTTTGATCAAAACTTTATATGTGGTGCATTAATTAATCTAATATAATATGCTTTAAAGAATGTCCGCATAACATATTGTAAATATTTTGTCATTGCAACTTCAGTATACATCTAACAAAGGACTGTTTGGATAGAAATAAGCTAAGTCAGCTAAGACATTATAAGTGTTGGGAACTTTCATTTTAGATGCGAATAAGATATTTAGGCAGTTGGATAGAGTGTCATGGAAGCAAAAATTACTTTGGACACAAATCTCAAGTCCACATCGTAATCATATTTATTACATATTTATATTTATTATTCTGTCTCTGAAAGGATTTACAATGCCCTGATATTATTTTGCAGTGCTGTTCTAAAAGAAAGTGGCTAAAAGTATAACTCTTCCCAGCCAAAAGGTGGCGCACTCACACCTGCCTGTTCTGATTCCAACCTTTAATGGTTCTAATAACTTACCAGTTGGCAGGTACGCCAAAGCTAAAGCTGGCAGAAGACTTACCTGTCCAGAAGCAAAGTGGTGACCTAAAGATGGCTTCTGAGCCATTTAAGCAACAATGCTCAAAAACTTGATAGATGTAATTCTGTTTCTTTTTTGATCTGCTTAAAACTGAGAAATAAACCATTTCTATGTGCGATCATTTGGCTACTAAAATCTGGCATCACCCAGGCTCTGTCACACTGGACTTCAACCTATTGTTCCTATTGGTGCAAAATCTTTTCTTTTTCATGTTCACATCCTAACCAGATGGAAATATTCATATATTCTGGACATGTCAAAATTTATGAAATAATTATTTTAATGCTGTCTTTGTTCTATAAATGTTTACTTTTATTCTGTGCTACAGTGCCACTAAACATACCTCTGAGATCATGATCCTTTCAGCAAAGTTGAATTTTTCCATTTTGAATCAAGTAAAAGAAATCTTGTTTGATGTGCGAGAGGTATGTTATATCTGCCTTTTTTTTTTAGGACAGTTAATTGGGAAAAAAAATTCCTTGTTTGGTCACTAGGAGCTCATGCTGGCCAGTGACATGTGTATTATGGTTATCTAAACCCCATCAGGAGTTTTTAAAACCTTGTTTTAGACATTTTGTTTTTCTAAGGCTTTTTTTCAGTTTCTAATGTTTTGTTAATTGTATTCTGTTGTATATATCACCTATACTAAATGAAAATAAATAAAATAGAAGCATTTAACCTTTTTTTTTTTAAAACAGTGTATCTGCATATGGCGCTAGTGGTACAGTAATTGACAAGTGAGAAAGGCAATTTATTTTACTTCACGCAAATAGGGACTAACTTAAAGATAATATTCTTGTTAAAATTGTTCTAACTTGTTATTGATTTTTTTCATGATTCTGACATAAATAAATGTCTTTATAAATGTCTTCTTAAACTTTAAAGGGAACAGCGACATTGAACGCTACCAAACGGCCAATAAGAAAATTCCTTTCAAATATGTCAGACCAGTAGAAGAATGGCTACAAGACAAAGGTAATTTATGAGGAAGATTGATTACATCTGTCTTCACTGTCCTACCAATGAGTTGCTTAAAATATAATTGTTACAAGTATGTCTTTGTTTTGAATATTATTTCAACAACTGACCATGTATGAAATATATACAAACCAGCCAATAAATATGAAATAGAGCATCAAGATGTGTAGATTTGTTTAAGCCAATGCATGGGGATTTCAAGGGTACATTGAAACTCTACTAATTCTGTGCTGAGTTTTCTTATGGTAATGCACTACTCTGATGTAATGCATCATATAATGTGTTGTAATGGGTAATCTATAACTGTGGATGTCTTCCTCAGGGCGGCAGTTAACGATTTTCAACACTCAAGCAACAATCACGGTTGGAGGTAGCGACCGAGGCCGACCTTTTCAAGGTCAGCTGTCGGGACTGTATTACAATGGCCTTAAGGTGTTGAAAATGGCGGCTGAAGCCAACCTCAACATCAAGATCAACGGGAGCGTGAGGCTGGTGGGTGACGTGCCCAGTGTTGCAGGTTCAGCCCGTACCACAGCCATGCCTCCAGAGATGTCTACCAACTTTGTTGAGACGACCACCATGATGTCAACAACAACCACACGGAAACACAGATCCTCCCCAACGGTTTGTCATCCAATTTTGAAAATGCCTTCTTTTTTTTAAATCCCTGTGCAAACTATTCTGTAGCCCACTTGTGTCATGATTAACAGTTCTTGAGGCTTTGAGATCTCTGAGTGTAGGTATTTTTTTATATAGATGTTGACTGCTTTCTTTCATCTATTACTGGCTTACTTTTTCAAAGTGGCTATTTATTAATTCATTAATTAATCTTTTATTATTTTATTCATTAATCATGATTAGATTTGGAGTCAGTGGCCCTTATTATTGACAGGTCAAATAGCCTTTCTGGGCTAATGACAGCTTTTGTTAGTGACAGACCTGTCAGAGTTGTTGATGATCATAGACAATCCAAACACTCAACTCCAAAAGTGAGGATATTATCTTACCTCAAATTAAATAATCTGGTAGACCTTGTTTGGTTTGCTTGTGACCCTTAGGTTGACCTTAGGTTGATTCTGTGGCAGAAGAGGGTGAATTTAACTCACAAAACACAAGCAAAGGGAAAATGCTGCAAGTTGCAAAAACAACTGCAAGTTAAAAATAGCTGCTAACTAGCTCTGCATAAAAGAAGGGCTCCAGACCACAAGGGGAAGAAAGTCATCAACTCAAATGGGCTAGAGATCCTTTGTAAAGGTAGAAAATCAATAATCACAGGGAATATATGAACAAGATTTAAAGAAAAACTTGCCTTTTCTGTCTTCCCTCACAGTATCCTTTGGGCCAGCATCTCTTTATGTTTTTCCTGCAGATCCGGTTCATAGATATTAATTCATAGTGATTTGTGGTAATGGTCTGGTACCATTTGTGTCTGGTACCATTTCCTAATTTGCAGTGTTATCATGTATTTGCATGGCATTTACACCCCTCAGCCACTCTAAAAAGGAAAAAAATTCTTAAATGTGATTTGCAAAACTAGAAGAGTTCTATTATGTCCATTAATTTATCTGGAAGATCCATCTTCAGCAATACTTATTACATACTAATTATATATTTGCCGTTTATTTATTTATCTATCACTATGATCTGGTATTCTCAACCGAAGTCAACCAGCAGCCTCTAAACTTATCTGTTTATCCTGTTTGTTTCTTTGTGTGTTTTCTTACTACTCCGGTTGGGATTTATGGTAATCAATGTTCTGCCCAAGAAGCATGTGGTAGATGACATTGGGTCCTCTGCAGAGTGTTCAAGCGACGACGAGGACCTAAAGGAGTGTGACATGAGCATTGCAGGTGGGCTAGGTTAGTTTGCATTTGCTTGCTTTCTTTGTGCTTTTACACTCATCTGCAACATAGGATCAGATGATCCTCAAAGCATCATCCCCCCATGTTTATACAAAGTGTATCTTAAGCACTTACTTCAATTAATAAAACCCCCCTTGCAATAAGAACTTATTCCAAGAAAAGTTGGAGCATTCAATTAAACTTGAAAATAGCAGGAATTTAATCTAGTGTTATATTAGCCATCAGCAGATCTAGTATTATAAGCTACACTTGAACATGGGGTCTTTTAAAGTGGTAAACATGGTTTCCGGAATGCCTACAAATGTTGGCAGCTGAGAGGAATAATAAAAGCTACAACATTTTAACCGTCAAATTTGTATGGAGGTGAACCATGTTCTCCACACTGATGCTGCTAAATGTGTTTTGTCATGTTATAGATCATTGCTCTCGCTGTTCACTGCTCTTCTGGTTTTCTTTAAAGAAAAAATATTTTGAATTTGTTCATAGATAAAATGAGAACTGTCCCCAGATTTTAATTTAAGTAATTTTTGTTTTCATTTGTGTTTGTTTGTTTGTTTGTTTGTTTTCCACATTTAGAAGCTTGCATTGTTGATAGAGAACAGATATCATTGAATTTCTGTGTACAGGTTTTTCTTTCTTTGGGTCATACTTTTGCTCTTAGGTGTACTCATCATTCTGTCTTTTTTGTGTCCAAATAGATTTGAAAAATTGAATAATTTGAGAAAATGCATTTGAAAAAAATTGGGAATCTCCTTTTTCTTTTAAACTTTAATAAGGGACTCTTTTAGTGATCATCCAACATTTTTAACAGCCTTTTAATTGAACACTTCTTGCAGAAAGCATAACAATTATATTTTGAGTTCAGTACCAGATTCCTCAAATAAAAAAAAAAATGGAGAAAGCCATGAATATATGGCTTTTCTCATACCTTTACGGATCTTACAGGTTAATTTCTCAGCAGTTGTGTTGTCTAAACCTTTCTGCAGGTACTGTGTTATATTTGAGGAACTTGTAGGTTTTTCCCTGGAACTTGTACTAAACAGTTTTGGAATGCATGTATACTTTTTTGTAAGGCTGTAAAGGGAAAATTGAAGTTTCAAGTTTTCAAATTAAGATTAATGAAATGACAGTATATTAAAATATAGCTTTGAATTAATTAAATGGTAAATTGGAACTTTTATTAATTAAAAGGTTTCCACCTACTAACCTGAAAATTATTTTGGTGGAATTTAACAGTGTCTATTTCTGGAGTAATGGACTTGTTTATTTAAATTTTTCTCAGAACTTTCCTACTTACGTTATTATGTTTTTGACTTAGAGCTTATTATTCCATAAGTTTCCTTTCCAGGAATATTTAAAATTTTAACTTTTTTAAAATTTCACTTAGATATTTATATCTTTTTTTTTTTTTCTATTGTTTTGTTTTTTTTACACAACACAATGTTTATTCAAAAGAATGTTGTTATTAATGTAATATTTTATTTTTAAGAAAAATTCTATGTTTCACTTAGGGCTTAATCTAGAGTTGAAAGCACAATAAATGGGCACAGAGACTTTTATTTTAAAAAAATCCCAAAAGATGGATGAATTATAGTATTGCTTTGTTGCCAGTAAACATAAACCAACATGTTAAAATTCAAGCACAAATAAAATAAATCTTAAAATCACAGATTACAGGTGCTGGTCATAAAATTAGAATATCATGAAAAAGTAGATTGATTTCAGTAATTCCATTTAAAAGTGAAACTTGTATATTATATTCATACATTACATACAAACTCATATATTTCAGATGTTTATTTTGTTTAATTTTGATGATTACAAATGACAACAAATGAAAATCTCAAATTCATCATATCAGAAAATTAGAATATTACTGAAGACCAATAAAAACAAAGGATTTATAGAAATGTTGGCCAACTGAAAAGTATGAACATGAAAAGTATGAGCATGTACAGCACTCAGTATTTAGTTGGGCCTCCTTTGGCCTGTATTACTGCAGCAATGCGGCGTGGCATGGAGTCGATCTGTCTGTGGCACTGCTCAGGTGTTATGATAGCCCAGGTTGCTCTAATAGTGGCTTTTAGCTCTTCTGAATTGTTGGGTCTGGTGTATTGCATCTTCTTCTTCACAATATCCCATAGATTTTCTATGGGGTTAAGGTCAGGAGAGTTTGCTGGCCAATTAAGAACAGGGATACCATGGTCCTTCAACCAGGTACTGGTAGCTTTGGCACTGTGTGCAGGTGCCAAGTCCTGTTGGAAAATGAAATCTGCATCTCCAAAAAGTTGGTCAGCTGCAGGAAGCATGAAGTGCTCTAAAACTTCCTGGTATGTGGCTGCGTTGACCCTGGACCTCAGAAAACACAATGGACCAACACCAGCAGATGACATGGCACCCCAAACCATCACTGACTGTGGAAACTTTACACTGGACTTCAAGCAACGTGGATGAAGTGCCTCTCTTCTTTTCCTCCAGACTCTGGGACCTTGATTTCCAAAGGAAATGCAAAATTTACTTTCATCAGAGAACATGACTTTGGACCACTCACCAGCAGTCCAGTCCTGTTTCTCTTTAGCCCAGGCAAGACGCTTCTGACGCTGTCTGTGGTTCAAGAGTGGCTTGACACAAGGAATGCGACAGCAGAAACCCATGTCTTTCATACGTCTGTGTGTGGTGGTTCTTGAAGCACTCACTCCAGCTGCAGTCCACTCTTTGTGAATCTCCCCCACATTTTTTAATGGGTTTTGTTTCACAATCCTCTCCAGGGTGCGGTTATCTCTCTTGCTTGTACACTTTTTTCGACCACATCTTTTCCTTCCCTTCGCCTCTCTATTAATGTGCTTGGACACTGAGCTCTGTGAACAGCCAGCCTCTTTAGCGATGACCTTTTGTGTCTTGCCCTCCTTGTGCAAGGTGTCGATGGTCGTCTTTTGGACAACTGTCAAGTCAGCAGTCTTCCCCATGATTGTGTAGCCTATAGAACTAGACTGAAAGACCATTTAAAGGCTTTTGCAGGTGGTTTGAGTTAATTAGCTGATTAGAGTGTGGCACCAGGGGCCATCAATTTTGAACCTTTTCACAATATTCTAATTTTCTGATATGATGAATTTGAGATTTTCATTTGTTGTCATTTGTAATCATCAAAATTAAACAAAATAAACATCTGAAATATATGAGTTTGTATGTAATGTATGAATATAATATACAAGTTTCACTTTTTAAATGGAATTACTGAAATCAATCTACTTTTTCATGATATTCTAATTTTATGACCAGCACCTGTACATTGCGTTTATGTGACAAACTCTTGATGAAGCAGCATTTTGGAACCAAGGAGCACGTGGAGACGTTGCAGCTGGTTTGAGCTCTCACTATCAATCCTTAGAGAGCTGCTCCCACAAGTTGTGCAATATCAGTGGATTCCTCCATTGAGCTTTGACACTTACCCTTTCATAATGTTTGTGGGCTACTAGCGACTGTTGCTAAATCCAACAGGGTTTCAGCATCAGCAGCATAAATTTGGCCTTTTAAAAATGACTCTTGTAAAAAGTCAGGACAGGAGTACACATTTGCGGTAGCAGAAAATGTTAAAGTGCGATGCATTTAAATCTTTAAACTGTTCATGTTCTTAAACAGCTCAATGGTTTCTTTGGGATTCCAAGAGACTTCCCACAAAATCTGCCTTGTACTGTCTTCCAGTGAAATGTTTTGAGCTAGTTTTGAATTCACTTCTGAATGGAAACCCTTCTTGTTAAAAGTGAGAAATTAGTGAGATTTGTTCACTGTTGTACTATAAACCATCAGAAGTGCTAATAAATATTAAAAGTTTGTTTACCCATACCTAATTTTGATTTCAATGTATGGAAAATCGAAAAAGCAAAACCAGCTGTTTTGGTTGAAAACTGAAAAATCTGATGCAGCTTACACTTTAAATGTTCGATATAGACATAATAACTGGCCTTCTATGAGCTAACAGTAAAAATGTGTTGTTCTTGTCACCATATTTACAAATGCAAAGTTTTCTGCTTTCTGCAATAAGTGATCAGTGATTGTAAAATACACATGTAATTAACAGTTGTTGTTGTTTTCTGAATAAGTATGTTGATTATTTCAAATTGGCTTAAAGTGGATCTAAAGTATCTACACAACATAAATTAATATTGAACAAATATGAAAAACGTGTGTCTGAGGACCTGCAATAATGCCACTTTGCAAAAGGGTCATTCCCAAATGTTTTCAAAAAGACTGATCATGTTAAAGGGGATTCAAACGGTGCTTTAAAGCCTGAGATCCATGGGGATTTGTGAAGAAAGACAAAGACAGGGCCCCAGTCATCCAGTCATGTGTTTACACAGAAATTCACACCATTCTAACCCTAACATCATGTTGCCGTTGGTTGAAAGCTGCATGCCTTAGGTTTTTCTTGTTTTGTTTTCTCTTCAGTTGGGAAGTCAATGCTATTTCCTGGTGTTTTGTTGCCAAAATTCCATTCCCGTCTATCTGCCATCGGTGCTAAGATGCATTCTTGTATTTTGGCCTCATGATATGTGGCTCAAGTTTGGTTATAAGTGTTTCCTCATATCTCTTAATATATCCATAGGCTTTGTGTCTTGCAGCTCATCTGTTTTTGAGACATTTGCATTGTGATCTACTCCGTAACTGTTCACCCTTAACAGCTAGAGGTCAACACCGTCTGTCCTACCTCACCATTTTCTGTTTTCCAGTCTCTAACCTCTAAGTGGAAAAAAACACATTCTGGCAAAAAGACCTTAGATAACCAAAAAAGTATGTTCAGGGTGAATTTGTTATTTCACTGCATGCTTTTTGATTTGCCCATGACTCCATGTCCTCCAGTGAACTAGTTGTTTTATCTGCATTTGTGTTAAAAGTGTGAGCCATTGCTGCAGTGGCAGCGACATTAAATCGCCTGTTTTTTGCCATGTTTTTTATTTGTAAATAGGACTATGTGTTTTAGTTTAGAGAAA